TGCTCCTCCTCCCAAGCAGAAGAGGAAAACCCCTGAGCTCTGTCCTCCACACTGCGCACTCCTTCATTATTACAGTAGAAGGCCACACACTGGGGCTGAAGAGATGTCTCCATAGATAGGAGAATTAGCTGCTCTTCCAGAGGAACTGGGTTCTATTCCCAGCACCCCCATGGCAGCTTACAACTATCTGTAACCAGGATTCCAGGGATCCAGTGCCCTCTTCTGGTTTCTGAGGGCACCGCACACACGGTACACAGACATAAGCAGCAAAAACAACCGCAGCAAAAACAACACCTAAAAAATGTTTAATTGTTAATGGAAAGAAAAAGCAGCTACCCAATGACCACTGACTCTATAGCTGAAGTCAGATTCTAAGTACCTGTGATAGTGGGATAGTCTTTGGGTATAGGAAATTGACTGCTGAGATAATCAGTAAATGAATTAGCATAAAGTATGCTGACTTCTTTGGAAGGAATTTTATGGACACAGATTCAAGACTTCTCATACAATAAACAATTCAATCACAAGCACTAATAAAGTAACTAAGTAACAGTAAGAAAACACACTATCAATCAATCAATGAACCTGTGAATTAATTATGTGCAAGACTATACTAAGTAATGAAGGCAAATTTTAAAAGATGCCTGCCCGGGATCAGACTCATACAGTAGCTAAAGACATACAAAAGACTGTTTTGAAGCCAGAAATTAAAACAAAACACCTTCCACAGTTCAGTCCAACTCCCTTGTCATCTGCTTCCCACAGCCACGCCCAATCAAATACATGCCCACTTCTCCAAGTCCATACACTGCAGTTCACACTCGCCTTGCCCCACCCACCCCACCCACCCCCTCAGATGCTTCTCTCACACTAGAGGCCTGCAAAACTTCCTGACTTCCAAAGCTCAAAACACTTCCTGCATCCTTGGAAGTCTTTTGTAAACAGCATGACCCTGTGTGCTCTTTCCAAGTCCTCTCTGAGGAGGTACCTTCCCTACTCTGTCTCCTGTTTTATTCCTATACTTATCTGTCTTGCTAGAATCAAGTTATACAACTAAAAAACCTAAATTGAAATCTGAACGATTAGCTATCTGACCCTGACCAACTCCAACTACCCACTTTCCCTAAGCTCCAGCTCCTGAACATACGAAGTGAGGAAGTCACCACCACGAGTGCGCTCTCCTTACTGAATCACAGCTGTGGGTTCAGGAGAGGGAGTGTGAAGGAAAGACTCCGAGTGGACGTGCCTCGGAAGGACAACAAAGAGCATGCAAGTTGCAGCTGTTCACACTACACTCTACGTCCTTAATGAGCCAGAGGAAAAGCCAACATATTAAGAAAAGACAAGAAAAATATTCAAGGTCAATGAAAGGAATAACCAAAGTTCAACCAAAAAGAAACGGGTATCATGAAAACAAAAAACAAAAAACCTTCCCACACTAGACCAGACAGAAACACTAATAAATACTGAAAGCACATAGGAAAAAATACCAACTGTATACAAACTAACAGAAAACTGAAGGAAAGGGACCATTTCCCAACGCATCAGGGCTCCCCACACTACTAGCAAAATAAAAAGAAGATTTTAAAAAAACCCTTTCACCCTGGCCCTGTGAATAAAATCCAAAGACTAGAAAGAAAAGCTGGGGGCTTATGAACTGACAGCATTGAACTGAGAGATGGAAGGACAGAGAAATGTGAAACACTCACTTCAAATCTATGAATGGCCAAAAGGCCAACAGCAGAGTAAACGGTGGTTGCCAACAACAGGAAGAAGAGAATGAATTGCTCTAGAGACCTGAGACACTTCATTCAACAGTGACCACCACTCAACAACTGTACACCAGAAATGACTAGAACTAGGGATGGATGCCAGCACGTGCAAGTCGGAAGTCATCCTCGGGTGTTATTGCTCAGAAACTGTCTGTCCTGGTTTTCACTTGGGAGGGACTGGTTGTTGTTTCCTTTTGTTCTGAGATAGCCTCTCTCTGGGACCCGGGGCTCACAGATTAGGCTTGACCAGTAAGCCGCAAGGATACTTCTGTCTTCTCAGCACTATTAGGACAAGCACATGCCACCAGTCCGCTTTTTACGTGAGTGCTGGGAATATGGTCCCCATGTGCGGCAAACACTTAGCCAACTAAGCTAATTCTCCCATCCTGACAGTAAGCTTTACACCATGCCTTTTACTACTTTTTTCAAAGGAGTTTAAAAAAAAAAGCACAAAAACTGGTTCCCGAGTAGTACGGATTCAAAATATTTCTCACCAACTGCCCCCAATGCCTATTTTAATCCCTAAAATTCTTTTTTATTCACAAGTAAAAGAAAAATGGGTACATATTTCTAGTGGGCCATGGGAGCTTCTCCAACTACAATACAGCTCGAGGGCGGGGCAGGGGGATGGCTTAGCAGGAAAATGCACTTGTCCCAAAGCCTGACAACCTGAGTCAACCCCCGGGGCCCACCTGGTAGGAGGAGACTCCTACATGTTGTCCACAGACCTACACACACACACACACACACACACACACAAATAAATTCAAATTTAGATTTTAATTAAAATGTACAAAATGAGCATAGGGAGCAAGTTGGAAGAGCAAAGGCTGAGAACACAATTCAAATGCTAACTGGTGGCAGAAACACAAAGCAAACTATTCAGGCACAAGCATACTGTGTCATCCCCATGCTACACACAGCCTAAGTCCCTAAGTAAAACCTTCATAGAGGCTTCTCTTTATTCAAAGCACAAAGAAAAATTCAGCTGCCCACAAGGCCCAGCACAATCTGGCCCCATTCCACTACTCCAGCCCTCTGTCCTACCAGATTGTTCCACATGCCTCCAGCTCCCTTCTAAAGCTGTACCTAGCGTCGCTGGTCCTCTCCTGCCCACCCTGCCATCCCAGGGTCTCTGCCCTGCTGACCAATCGCACTGAAGCACTTCCTTTCCTATGCATCCTGAGTATCTCCATTCATAGATTATCATGTGTGACTTCTCTTAACACATCACGACTGCAGCTTAACATCTATGTGGTTACTGGATGGTCATCTGCTAAAAACAGGATTATGTCTGTATTCAATCTCAATTCCACAGCCAAGCACAATGCCTGGGACCAGGTGGACATTCTGATATCTGTTTAATAACTAGATTAAACAATATAATATCTACAGGAAAGCAATAAAACATCCTAAAAGGTCTTAAAAGTTTATTCATCTTCATAATTGTATCTTTGGTGGATCTGCAAAGCAATAGCCTAAAATCCTTATCTGAACTGCTAATGTCTTTCCGAGACTTAAGTCAAGTGCTCAGCATCAAAGACTGATAAGCTACACACACACACACACACACACACACACACGCACGCACGCACGCACGCACGCACGCACGCACGCACGCACGCACGCACGCACGCACAGGCACACACGGAGCACACCACAGGTAAAACATAGTACCTGGTTGCTGAGTAACCATTGTTTTCATTGTCTCCTGACACAGTGCCTGCTACATATGAAACACTCAAGAATATCAGTCAAATAAAGAGTAAAATTTCACAAGCCTCTTAAGTACACACTAAACAGTAACTCTACTTCAACCGGTGTGTTTTACATAAACATAAGACCGACTGCAGAAGCAAAGATCTCTAACGGCAAAGCCTGTTTTAGATCTCAGGAAAAACACCAGAGATTTGTGCATGGTATGTTTTGAAAGAAATGGATCAGAATCAAGTGACTTTAGAATTTTCAAAATGAACTAAAGAACACTATATGTAAATATTTCCCAAGCCCTAAGGAATATGAGAAATTGTTTAGTTCGTTCAGTCCCCTCCAATAACAAATAAAAAACGTATCTATACTTTGGAGGCAAATCAACTATTATTTCATCCATAAACATATTCCTGAAAATACCAGCCTACATTCATTTCTCCAGCTTCTAGCCTACTACACAGCACTTAATACCTATCACACACTTTGCATTTAACTAAATGTCATCTTATTGCTTCCCAATGGGGCAATGTGTACAATCTCGTCACGCTGCGGGTGCTTAACACTAACTGAAATGAAATGACAGAGGTTTGAATGGTGAATCTTAGTAAGTCCCTGCATTTTACTCCTAAAAATTCCACAAACTATTCACACCTCTGTTTCCACTCCATCATCGTTATATTAAGTACAGCCAGGAGTTACCAACAAGGTCTCAAGTTTTCTTAGTACCTCGTGTCCAGACTCAAAAGGAGGTTTTCGGTGCCACTGTATCTTTTGAAGTGTACGTCAGAGACATATTAACACCAGCCCCTACTCCAGCTTAGTCAATTTTACTGAAAATTTTTCTCAAGGTTAGTCAAGTTCCTTCTGTATAAAACTGGAAGCGACAACATCTCCGATACAATACACCAACCAAGCACAGTTCATTGATAACTGGAGAGCTAACTCGCGGGGACCGTCGGTTCGGGGTGTACGATTCCGGGGGTCTACGTGCCCCAGAGAATGGACAAAGTCTATCTGTGGCTTTGGAGAGCTGGGGCCCACAGGGCTGCGGCTCAGCCTCCCTCCCGAGCCAGGCATCTCCATCGGGGCCCGCGAGACCGCGTCCCCGGGTGACCCGAGCCTCGGGAGGCCGCGTCCTCCCGGCCCGCGGCTCCAGTCCCGCCTCCCTCCCCACGCACTGCACGGCGCCACAAAAGGAAGGACCCGCGGGGCGGAGGGGCCCGCGGCCCGGCCGGAGCCGTCGACAGGCGACCAG